TTTTAAGGCCCCTCTTAGTTCACCATCCTGCAAATGGCCTAAAGACAACAGAACTCTGGGTGTATAAATAAATAGCAGGAAGGAGCAAGGGAGAAAGAGATTCCTGGAAGGAACAAAGTACATAATTGAACTGGTTAACCACAAGATTGAGATGATGAAGGGAGGGGAGGCCAGAGCACTGGGGATGGATTGGGGGAACAGGAAGGCAGAGAGGAATTGAAGGCTGCGGTAAAGGTGAAGAATGGTTGGGTGGGAATGAGGCAGGGGAAGTCATAGAAGGACAGGACATTATTTAAAATCAGGGAAAGGAATTTCAGAATGATAAGAGGGGAGACGTTGTGTGTGTGGTTTGTTTGTTTGTTTGTTTTAAGGCAATTGGGGTTAAGTGGCTTGCCCAGGGTCACACAGCTAGTAAGTGTCAAGTGTTTGGTCTGAGGTGAGATTTGAACTCAGGTCCTCCTGACTTCAGGGCTGGTGCTCTATCCACTGCACCACCTAGCTGCCCCGAGACATTGTTTGAAAGGATTTGTGAGAGCTTATGTGTAACAGAGATGGAAGACGCAGGTCATGGAAATTAAAGAGGGAAATAAACTAGGAGGCCAAGTCATTCTAGGAGGTAACAATTTGGATGTTGAATTTCTCCAGTTATGAAGGCAGAGTTTGGGATGGAGAGGAAAACTGAGTCAGGTACTGAATTGCTTGAGATGAGAGAGATTAACATAACAACACAGACCTGGAAAGGATAATATGGACAGGTGGAGTAAGTTTCAAATGAGAAGTTTCAGAGTCAGTGGTATGTCTGGATAACAATAAGTAATAATATCAATGTTGTTGTTTAGTTGTTTTTTAGTCGTGTCAAACTCCTCGTGACCCCATTTGGGGTTTTCTTGGCAAAGATACTGAAATGGTTTGCCATTTTCTTCTCCTCATTTTCCAGATGAGGAAACTGAGGCAAACAGGGTTAAGTGCCTTGCCCGGGGTCACCCAGCTAGGAAATGTCTAAGGCCAGATTTGAACTCACAAAGATGAGTCTCATTGACTTGGAGTCAGGCAATAGAGGCCAGGCACTCTATCCACTGTGTCACCGAGCTACATATTAATAATTGCTAACTAAATAATTGTTTATATAGCATTTACTGTGTTATAAGGACTGGATAAACACTTTACAATTATTAACTCATTTGATTCTCACAACAACCCCTGGAGATAGGTGATATCATTATCTCCATTTTGCAAATGAGGAATCTGAGGCAAACAGATTAAGTGACTTGCCAGAATCACAGGGCTAGTAAGTGTCTGAGGCAAGGTTTGAACTCAGGTCTTCCTGACTCTAGTACTATTGCAAATTGAGGGCCAGGAAGTGGCAGTGAAAAGCAAGAAGTATGTCAGTTCTTCTTTTTGTTCTGGTGTGTTAAAGGTGGACAAGAAAACGAATAATCAGAACTGCAGAGGGTGGCTAAGGATGAGGTTATCTTCTGGAAAGAGAAGGGTTCCAGTAAAACCAAGAAGACAGAAAAATTTTTAGAGGGAGAGATCTCGAATGGAGAATTTGTTAGTGACACAGAGGAAAATTTGACTCAAGAACCATTAAAGAAATATTTTCCCAGCCCTATTAATAACAAATAAAATTAAATTAAGTACTTTATTTGGAATGTACTGCTTGTTTAAACAGTTTAAACAGTAATGAAATTATTGTATGCAGGATTGCTATTCTAGACTTTAGCAAATTATTTGTGATTATTCTTCCATTCTAATTAAGGAAGCGGTATCTTATTCTAAATACTTAATTGCCAGAATAGATCAATGTCTCTAGGCTAACACAGAAATCTTAGAGTTTCTTATGTGTTTCATTAAATATGTGCTTTCTTTTTCATTGTTTTTTTACCTAACCAAATATCATCTCATACTGAATTTGTGTATGTACACATATACACACACACATACACACACACACTTCTTAAAGCAAAAGTACTAGTGAAATAAATTTACTGAGCTAAAATATTTTCAGTCCATTTATCAACTCAACTTTATCTCTTGACAGTGGTGATTACTATTAATTATTATTTACTATCCAAATGAAATTATATAAACATAGATCAATCTGCAATGGATATAAAATATACATAATTTTTAGAAAACATGATTATTGCTTCTTGAAGCTTGCCCATTATAAGATAGATAAGCAAGAACTTATGAAAGGATTTGAAAGTTAGGCCTACTTATCCTGGATTGCATGCAAGTATATACAGTAGCTATTTTGCAGATGGGTATATTTTTGCTGACAGTGTACATGTATCATGTCTTTTCTGCTAGATTACAGACTCATGGCCAATTCACCAACAGGGTCTTCAAATGTATTGGAACAAGCTAGAAAATGTTTACAGGGTGGACCTTATAAACAAAGCTGAATGACGTAAACTCCATGTGAAAAGTAATACAGAGTCAGGAGAGGACTTCGAGGAATGGAATAAAATTCACATAACAAGGGGAAACTTAATTTTGGCAGTGCACTATGCAGAGAGAACAACAGAAAATGTACATGATTGTACCAAATAGGCCTTTAGCTTACCTTCACTGCAGTAAGTTATCCTATAGGTGAAAAAAGGTAGAAAATGAATTAATTGGCTAGTATTTTGTAATTGCTTAAGTACTTTCATATACATTATTTCATCCCATCTTTGGGACACCACTGTGGTACACAGGACAAGTGGTCTTAATCCACATTTTAGAATGGAGACAACCTTCGGAGCAGAAAGAGTAGATTTCCCCCATTGTTAATCTATGAACATGTTTATCTCCACATAATGAGGAGAAGTGAGCAGATTTTTTTAAAGCTGCCATCATTTTTTTTTAATTCATTTGGAAGGAAAATTATATAAAACCTTGAATATTTCTTTCAAGCCATATTCTCCCCCTAAAAGAACTGAGGCACGTGAGATGGAGGTTCATAACTTGCCCAAGGTCATGCCACTTGTAAGTGATGGAACCCTAGCTCTATCAGACTCAAATTCCAGTAGACCTTACAATTTATCACAGTCCTCTTGAGGGCCCTTTAATTTCATTACTTCAAGTGTGTGAAAACCACTTTTGAATATCCTCCGTGGCTATTTCTGTCTTCTCTCCTATCTTGCCACCCTCTGTGTAGATTTTCGAGATCTCTAGGCCTTCCACAAAGATTGTTCTCCAGGGGTATTGAAAGGCAATTGATTCCTTGGCTGGTTATAACACCCAGGTCTCCCACCCACGGTCTCCCACCCACATGCCATGGAGGTTTTTGGTGGTATAATTCATCCCCAGGACTTGGTGCCTCTGGGTTTTTTTTTTTTTTTTTGAAGTGAAACAAGCAGATTATAGAATTATAGGATAATAGATTTTGAGCTGAAGAGGAAGAGGACCTTAGAAATCATTGAGTCTGACTCATTTTACAGATGAGGAAACTAAACTCTTAAGACACACTTCCTGACTCCAAGTCCAATGGTTTATTGAATGCACTATGCTGCCATGATGAAGAAAGCCATCCTTTTTCCTCAATCCTACTTGAACCCTCCGCACCCCCACCCACATTCACTTGTCTGGAACAATTTAGGAAATATCACAAGGTTGAACTTGATGAACTCTGTAGATTCCTTCCAACTCTATAAATTCTGATTATTATGAAATAGGTCATTGAGAAATTTAAAGAAACATATGAGATTACCAAATCTTGGAAATGATTTACCCATGTGCTTAGAAAATGGTGTATAAATATTGTCAATTTAAACAAATACACATCGACTGAGAGTTGTTATATTGGAAAGATTACTGAATTTAAAGCAAAAAGACATGGGTTTGAATGCTATTTCTGCCCCTTCCCGCCTGTGTGAACTTAGGTAGGTGTCTTCACCTCCTCGGTCTGATTTGTAATCTCTAAAATGATGGGATTGGAGTAGGTGATAGCCTTTCCAGCTCTAAATCTGAGATAATATATGTAAAAGTGCTTTGTAAGTTTTAAAACATGAGATAGACATAAGCTGTTAATATCCAATTGTGTGTCTGGGTTGTATACCTTAATCTACAGTATTCTGATAATAGAGGTTTATCAAAAACAAGGCAGTTTTTACTATTCTATGTAAATATACCCAGAGCTTAAATGTGAAGAAAGAACTTTTCTAAAAATCCTGTATTGCAAAAAAGAGAGGCACTCTTCTGTGAGAAGGGAAATTTAGTTTAGGAAAGAAACAGCTTGAAAGGAGAACCCAGTTCATGGAAAATTTGCTAATGATGATGTAAACTTGAAGGCAACTAGGTGGTGTAGTAGATAGAGCTCTGGGCTTGGAAGCAGGAAGATCTGAGTTCAAATAAGGCCTCATATGCTTACTAGCTGTGTGATTCTGGGCAAGTCATTTAACCCCTATTTGCCTCAGTTTCTCAGCTGTAAAATGGGGACACACTGGAGAAGGAAATAGCAAACCACTCCAGTATGTTTGCCAAGAATATACTGTGGACAAGTCCATGGAGTCGCAAAGAGTTGGATACGATGGTAGGACAGTGAATAATAACTTAAATGGAGAAACGTTTATTAAGCACCTACTATTTTCAAGGTCTTTGAATGTAGAATTTTGCACCCAGCTGCACTCTTTTGGACTTCTCCATCATGCCCTGCCCCTCTGCCCCCGTACCAGATATCTCCCCTTCATATCCCCATGTTCCCCACCCCTTTTAAGCTTTCTTTTGTATGTTGCCTTTCCCATTAGGTTAATAGTTCCTTGAGAGCAGAGACTCTCTCTCTCTCTCTCTCTCTCTCTCTCTCTCTCTCTCTCTCTCTATATATATATATATATATATATATATATATAAAAATAATTGTATCCACAGTGCTTAGCACATAGTAGGTGCTTAATAAATGTTTATTAACACATTAGATTAGGAGATTATCATTTCTATTGCTTTAATAATAAAACTGGAGACTGTAATTAGTCTTTGCTCAGATATATCTGATATGTAAAATTTTATAATTTCAGGATGCTGAATTCAATCCCTTGAAGTTCACCAGTATAATCGAATGTGAGAAGCCAAATAACGACCTAAGAAGGTTTCGAGGTAACATGTGAGTATTTCAATCTATTCGTTGTCTATCAGGTTTTTTTTTTGGAATCCAGGCCACTAAAACTATTCATTTCACAGACTTGGATTGTCTTTTCCAGGTATACATCTCAAGGATGCTCATTGTCATATCATTGCTTTTTTAGGGAATGTTGCCTGGTATCTAACTTACCCATAATTCAGCACTCAAGGACACCATTCAAAAGATACTGCTAAATTTCAAATACATAAGAGTCATTAGTGTTTCAGTAAGGAAGAACTGGTTTCTATTTTTCTGAAGATTTCAAATCACCAGAGTTGGGGTTTTTATGCTGGGGGTGGTGGGACCTTGAGTTGAGTAAGGAAAGGGGTAATTCTGATGTAATTGCTGGGAATCTCAACATCAGCACCCTGAGAAAGGGCACTTGGCCGTGGATACCAATTTCAACATCTGCCATTGGAGGCTTTTGTCTGAATTTACCTAAGTGTAATCAAATGTACTGGAGTGGTTTGCTGTTTCATTCTCCAGTGTGTCCCCATTTTACAGCTGAGGAACTGAGGCAAAGAGAGGTTAAATGACTTTAAATTTTCTGGATTTTCTCATCTGTAAAATGGGGGGACTGAATATTGTCAAGTTTCTTCTGGTGATAAGAGTACAGTAGAGATACGGAACCTTTGGCTTCCAGGCCAATTGTGGCCATCTAGGTCCTCAAGTGCGGCCCTTTGACTGAATCAAAATTTACATGTGTCTTCCTAGGTCCCTGACTGAGTCCAGGTTTATAGAACAAATGGTCCTTTGACTGAATCCAAACTTCAAAGAACAAATCCCCTTAATAAGAGGATTTGTTCTGTAAAACTTGGACTCAGTCAAAAGGCTGCACCCAAGGACTTAGAAGGTCATATGTGGCCTCGAGGCTGAAGGTTCCCTGCCACTGGTCCAGTTCATCCTTAGAACTTGGCACCTTTGGGGGATTTGCAGGTATCTTGACGGCAGCGTGGCCTGATGATTTTAGATAGACCCAGACTCAGGAGAAACATGGGTTCAAATCCTGTCACTGATAATTACCAGCCAAGTGACCATAAACAAGTTATTTAACCTCTCAAAGATTCGCTTTCCTCCTTTGTAAAATAAGGATATTAATCCAAGGTTGTTGTGAGGCTCAAATTAGATGATCTGTGGTTTGTGAAACTCCTCTCCTCAATGCCACCCAAACCCCAGCTCACCCACTTCCCTGAATTATTCCCGGTAATACAAATCTTCCTGAGTTCAGAATGAGACATATATTTCTTGGCTATGGCTTATGTGGGATTTGTTTTGCTTGACTGTGAATATTTTTTATAAGGAGTTCCATGCCCTCTCCCGCTACTCAATTAGAGGTAGAAGGGAGAGAAAATTTATTTTTGTTATTTGGGAAAAATTTTTTTAATGAACAAAAAATCTTCCTCAATTAACTAGCCTTTCTCAAATAGCATAGAGCTCAGGACTAATGTTGAATAAAATCCTTTCTGTTTTCCTTGCTTCAGTTCCTTTTCCTCTCCTTCTCCAGCCTCCTCATGTTATCGGAATACATTTTCTCTAAAAAAAAAACTTACATAGTACTTTAAGGTTTGAAAAGCACTTTACATAGATTATCTTTATTTAATTCTCATAATAACTCTGAGATATAGATACTATTATTATCTATTTCCATTTTACCAGTAAGAAAAATAAGGTTGACAAAGGTTAAAGGACTTGCCCAGATTCACACAACTAGTAAAAATCTGAGACAAGATTTGAGCTCAGGCCTTTTTGGCTGCCGGCCCAGCACTTTATCCATTATGCCAGAGGTTTCAAACATGGCCCAGTACAGCCCTGAAAGAGATTAAAATTGGGGAATTGGGAATTATAACAATTGCCAATAGTAAAGTAATTATTTAACAAAATAAATGAAAAGTTAATAGAACATAGATAATGTTAATATGTGGTCTTCTAAGTCCATATGCCACTTGCAGGGATCTCCGTGTATGAGTTAGTCGCTCTGGTTTCTCCTTGAGTATGACATGACTATCCTGTACTTCCTACTTCACACTTTCTCATCTCACCCTTTCAAGAACATATACAAACACAGACACAATCAGAGAACAAGCTAGGAGCAGAAATACCATCTTGTCTCGACTCCTCATTTTGCAGATAGGAAAACTGAGCCACCATTTTAGGGCTCTGGCCGTTACTATAAAGATGCCACACTTCTTAGAATAAATAGCATAGAGACCCCTAACACTTTTTTACTAACATCTTCTTAATACAAACATTAGTTTATCTAGAAACCAGTTATTATTTTTATTACTCTGTCTCAGCCAGTCTTGGATCATTTGTAATCCATATAAGATTTTTTTAAAGGGTAAGGCTATCCATCAGACAGCTAGGTGACACAGTGCTGGGCCTGCAATCAGGAAAGCTCATCTTCCTGAGTTTAAATCCAGCCTCGGGGCAATTAGATGGCATAATGGATAGAACACCTTCCCTGAAGTCAGGAGGACCTGAGCTCAAATCCGGCCTCAGACCAAACACTTGACACTTACTAGCTGCATGACCCTGGGCAAGTCTCTTAACCCTGTTTGCCTCAGTTTCCTCATCTGTAAAAATGAGCTGAAGAAGGAAATGGCAAAAGAAAACCACAAGTGGGGTCATGAAGATCGAACATGACTGAAAAACACTAAACAGCAACAACAGTAAGTCCACCCATCACACAGCTAAGTCTAAACACAGGTCTTCGCTATGTTTTCTTGTAGCATTGTTTGTTTAGCGAAGACCTATAATTCACATTGCTTTAACTGCTGAGACTTCTCACTAATCAAGACATCACTACATTGATCTCGGTAAACCTCACCATAAAAACTACATACAAATTTTCAGGACAGAAATAAGTTTTATAGACAAATAAGATTGTGTCTGTGTTAAGATTGTGTCTGTGCACACCTAAAATGTTGCTAAACCATTGCTAAAGCAAATATAAAATATAGGATATGAATTAAAATGTGATTGGAAAAATCAATGTACTTTTAATACAACAATATTAAGGTATAATTACACTGACATCAGTATCATCATTACAAATACACTGCTTAATTTTATTAAAAATTTTAAAGGTATTTAAAACATGTTATGCCATATTGAAATAGTATTTTCAAAGTTGGCAATTGCAAAAATGAGTTAACTCTTTTTCATCCCCCCCTTCCAAGCATGAGCATGAGTCTGTACACACAAATGCATATATACTTACCCTCAACTTTTTACTGTAGAAAATCCATTCAGAAAAAATAGATGAAATAAAGATTACAGATATGGAGTTCTTAGCTGTACATTAAAACATTTTAAGTTACCATTAGTTAATTGTGTTAACTGACTCCATGTCATAAATTGATTTTTCAAGCTGCAAGCCAATTTTTACATCTCCTCTTCTCTGCCCTGTGGATTGGATGAAAGGTGGTTGGGTTAAATTCATGGGTAGTAAGTAGGTTAGTCCAGTCTTTTTCTAGCCTCTTCCGTCAGCTTCTGCTTAGCATCTGGTTGTTTCCCAATTGAAAACATTTCGTTTTAGAGGAAACAATACACACAATATCTCTAACTTTGAATGCCGTTCTTTTCCCCCCCAAAAATTTGTCTCCTGAATGCTTTGATTCTACTGTTGTTGTTGTCGTCGTCGTCTCTGACTCTTTGTGACCACACTTGGGATTTTTCTTGGCAAAGATACTGGAGTGGTTTCCCATTTCCTTCTCCAGCTCATTTTACAGGTAAGTAAACTGAGGCAAACAGGGTGAAGTGACGTGCCCAGGATCACCCATCTAGTAAGTTTCTGAGGCCAGATTTGAACTCAGGGAGATGATTCTTCCTGACTCCAGGCCCAGCCCTCTACCCACTGTGCCACTCGACTCTCCTGTTATGTGTCATAAAATACAGTAAGACCAATATAATACCCTTTGTGTGCTGAGGAAGCAGATAGTGAGGAGGACTATGGCCTAGGAAATTCAATAGTAGTCCTGCAGCTCTCTTAATAACCATCACAGTGGTGAGAGCCAATGATCAACGTGAAATGAGAGGTGACTGGGTAGCAGTGTCATCACATATATTCTCCCACCACCATATGTGCTTTATAGGCATTCTTTTGCCTGGCTACTTAAATTTCTAGGGCAGTCAGGTGGCGTGGCTGATAAAAGTGCCATCATATCGCACAGAAGTCAGGAAGACTCATCTTCCTGAGTTCAAATTTGGCCTCAGACACTTTCTAGCTGTATGACCCTGGGCAAGTCACTTCATCCTCTTGGCTTCGATTTCCTCATCTGTAAAATGTGCTGGAGAATGAAATAGCAAACCACTCCAGTATCTTTGCCAAGAAAACCCAAATGGGGTCACAAAGAGTTGGACACAACTGCACAACAACCCATTTCTAACATAAAGGTCTTCATCAGAGCTACTGTTCTCCTGCCGAGTCAGCAAAATTATAAATTAACATTGTAATAAGGGCTTTCCCCTCCATGGTAACGTGTTTAATACATCATATTTATTCCATATCGTCTAGTCACACACACACATTTACATATGTGTGTATGTATGTATATATGTATGTATGTATGTGCATATATACCCCAAAAGCAAAAATGTTGGCAGTCTCTTGAAAGACAGGTGTTGCTTTTTGGAGAGCTTCGATATTTTGGTGGAGCTGTGATCTTGTTAATGTGGTCACTTCTTCAACAGTGCTGATCAAAGTCTCTGCATAGCTTTTCATCCCTTTTAACTCTCATCCAAGTCCTCCCATCGATCCCCAAAAAAGAGTCTACCCAGTACCCTCAGACCCTTCTAAGTGAATGCCACTGGAATGCAGAGACTGTCCATTGGTTATCCCCCACTCATGGCATCAGTGGTCCACCTCCTTTTCCAGTTCTATCCTCTTAGTGTCCTTTGCACTACTTTACCAGCAGAACTTTTCCTTAGTAATATAGCACAGCCTACTCACACTCAAAATTTACTGTTTCATTGTCCTTTTG